TCCTTTCAGAGTGCCTAACACCAAGTTCTGACTAATTCCTGATTGTAGGAAGGCCAAAATGTGCAGACACAGAGTAATCTCTGGGACTGAAAGTGCCTGTGTTCACAGCAGCAAGAAAAGAAGGATTCACAGGTACCATAACAGATCCTCCTGCAAGTGGTATTTCCTACTTTCAGCAAGGCAGGAAGAAAACTCAGAGCCCCTTTGTCCTTTAAAACCTGTGTTTCAACAGCCATGCAGTTAGAGCTAGTGATCGAGAAGCAGTATGGAATAGAGGGCGCTGAGACAACAGGTCTGGTCTTTAGGGAAGAGGTCAAGTGTTAACTAGTATTCCAAGTACATGGTTCTTCTGGGTCAGTTTGGTGCAATGGAATAATTTGTTTATTTTCTCTCTCTATTTTGTGGAGCAGGTAGGGAGGGAAGGCTTAGATTAGTCTGAACAGAGACCTGTTTATTATCAAGGCATCCAATGCCAGTTCTAGAGGAACTTTGGTCTTGACTACAAATTGGGGTAATTTTTCATATCAGTTTGAAGGTGTCAGGTCCATTCCTCTTGGTCCACGCGGTAATGGCCAAGTTAGACTGCCTTCAAGTTGTCCACTCCTGTGATGCCGACAGCTCAGATCGATGGGTAGTGTCTACATCCATGAGGCTTTGGAATTCTGTGCATGGATGGACAAGAGCATAAGTAAATTGGGAGAAGGAGCATGTTTTTAACAAGATCTGTCAGAGAGGTCTCAAATTAACTTGGGTGAATGGACCAGGCTCGAAAGAGGCTACCATAAGACGTTAGAACTCTCATGGATCTCACGAGGGAAGTGTCTTTAACCTCAAGTCCTGAATGTTTATTCTCTGGAAGGAATACTTTTGCTTGGTATGTGTCCAGGATCATACTAAAGTATTCCAGGTACAGAGAAGGCTTAAGCGTGGATTTTTGGAAGTTGATCACCCAACCAAAAGAATTAAGTATTTGAATAGTCTGGTGGATATTTGCAGAAAGCTGTAGGAGAGAGAAGTCCTTTAAGATAAAGTCGCCTAGACCTGTGATATGGATGCCCTGATTTCTTAGGAGGGGAAACGGAATGAAAGTACCTTTGTGAATATCCTGAGAGGAGAGGATAGGCCAAATGGCATTGTGACAAACTGGAAATGATTGTCTCTTACTGCACAGAGTAGAAAGCACTGACAGAATGGATAAATGGGAATATGCAGACAGTCAGTATAGATGCCTACAGATGCAATAACTGTTTTGGATCTTATGCAAAATAGTGCAATTGGTTGAGGGATTTTAGGTCCAGAATAGGTGAAATATCACAGTTGGGCTTTGGAGCCTACTTAAAATAATCCTTTGAACCTTTCCTGTTGGGTTACTGGCACAAAAAAGCGCATTCTGCAAATCTGACTGTTCATGGGCAATTTTGGTTGATTTGAGAGAAAAAAGCAGTGAAGAGGTAGAGTTCTGAACTTTAACTTTACACCCCTTTGAAACCAAGACTGCACCCCTGGGTTTGGGATGTTTATGACCCAGAGAAAAGCAAACTGTAATAGATGTCTCAATGGGAAGAGGGCTTTGGGAAAGACTTGCTGGGCTATGTGGAACAAGTCTTAGGCTGAAAGGAAGGGTGGATCTGAAGTTGAAGCCTGGGTAAAGTGGTGAGGTACTCTTCATTTTGAAGAATTAGAGGCTCCTAAGGAGGGGGGGGGGGGGGGGGTAAATGTTCTGCTGTAGAAGAAACACTTTCCTTCCTGGGACATGAATTTGTCAAGTTCCTAACCAAAGAGACATCCTTCTTCAAGTGGCATGCATGCATCTTCTACAGGCAGCTTCAGCTGACCAGGCCTTGAGCCACAAGATTCTGCATATGTGAATGGAGATTGGGATCATTCTGAAAATGTATGCCATTATCTGTTCAGACAGCTACACAAAACAACAGTGAAGGAGGTAATTGCTCCAATTGCTCAGTTAAAGCAATGCCCTGGAATACAGAACCATGCTGGTTGATTATTGCCCTAGTCAGTTAAACAGACAGAAATTACAACAATAGCTGGTTGCAGAACTGGACCTACAAATATAAGATAGCCTTCAAGTCTCAAGCTTCTTATCGGAACAATTTTTGTACAAAAGAGGGGTATTAAATTAAAATTCATAGAGATCCAATCCGTAAAATTTTCTTCCAGCAGAGGTCTGTTCGTGCGATGATTGGATCCTTCACATCACAGACCCTCTCCTCTTGTATTACAATCCTGTATACATCAGTGTCCTCAGTCTACCTGGCAAATCACAATTCCCGAGCTCCCCCCCCACCTTTACATCAAAGGATTCCCTTCACAATAGTGTCCTCAGCCCCCCTATACATCACTCCACCTCTTCACAACAGTGTTCTGAACCCCCTTCACATTACCCCCCCTCTCCCCTCTTTCATTCACAGCAGAGTTCACAACCTCTCTTCACATCAACATTCCCCAACCCCATAGTAGTGCAATCTGCCCTACCTGCATCACATCACCCCCTCCCCCACATACAGCAATATATTGTATCCCCCTTCACATTTGCGCCCCCCCCCTCACCTTTCACATCACCCCCTCTCCCTCCCAACACACAGCCATGAGGGAAGAGTGTCCTCTACCCTCATTCACATCACCCCCCACATGCAGCAGTGTCCTCTGCCCCCCTTCTAATCAACCCCATGCATCCTAGGAACCGATCCCCTGCTGGTTAGACTGAACACTTACTCTGGCAGCTCACTCTCTTGTCCAGTGCTGCTGTGCTTCCTGCTCTCTGCTTCAAGAACGGCAGCAGTAAAGGCTGGCAGAAAGAACTGGCTCCTAAATGGCATGACTCTGGCAGTCTGGATGGGACAGTGACTCGGTCCAGATCTGGGCCACGGTCTGCCATTTAGTGATGCCTTGAACATCTTCAATTGGTACAATGGGATGCTTGTTTTAAGACTGAGATGTCAGGATTAAGTAGTGGAATAGACCACTTTTCAGTTATCTCCTTTTCCACTGAATAGGACTCAACAATGATTTTTGGAAGTGTAAAAATCTTTTCTGGATTGACCCAATTGTCATAAATTATCCATTCTATTTGTTTATGAACAGAAAATTTCTTTAGCATGTCTCTTTGTTCCCTGAAGGGTCATGGCAAGATGGGAGAAAGTGAAGTGTGACAATATGGAGGCTTTTGCATACAGCAGAAGTGAGTATTTCCTTATTGGAAAGCACATTTCTTATATCAACTACATCGATAATTAACCGCCTACTTCTCAACTCACCCTAATTTTGCATACTGTATAAACTAGCCTCAAGCAAATGTATACAGAAAACTGCAGTCTGACTGAAGGAGACATTACCACATAGTAAAAACACTGGAATTAGATAATGTTTATTGTTAACGTTTTTTTTTTTTTTTTGCTCTGCATTTTGAAGAGGTAGAGGTTCCTGAAGAAGGGTGGTTTGAAACTTCCCCCTGTGGAAGAACCACTTTCCTAACTGTGACATGTTTGATGAATTTGTCAAGAGACCTAACCAAAGAGACGTACTCCTTCAAAGTACATACATGTGAGGAATCTTCTACAAGCAGTTACCACATCGATAATTACCTGCCTATTTCAAAACTCACCCTAATGTATAAACTAGCCTCAAGCAAATATAGGAAACAGCAGTCTGACTGAAGGAGACATTACCACATAGTAAAAACATATAAATGAGTAAATGTGTATTCATTGTTAATCTTTTATTTTGTTTAAAATGCATTTTCTAAAATAGTAAAAACAAGAGTTCAAAAATATGCACACAAATCTCTAGGCTATGAGTGCTAAACTGGATCAAGGCAAAGTATGCTCACAGTATGGGAGCCAGTCAATCAATGAAGCGGTGAGCAGCATGGATGGTGCAAACTGGCATGCTTCACCATGAACTCAAGCTGTACGTATATGAATGCTGTTTGTTTGCACGTCCGCATATACTCCATAGTGGGAACACAGCCTCTAGGGTGACAACACTGGTCCTACTTAGGAATTTGTATAGGGAACATAGGAAACATTGTCAGAAGTTGTAACTGAGTAGGATCTCTAGGTTTACAAGGAAAAGGAAGAAAACCGAGAAAAACATGACAGCCAGGAAATTAGTAAGCGGTTTTTTATTTTATTTTTTTAAGTTTTGGGTTTAGATACAGTACGGAAGTACGTTTAGTCCCAACTTTCAAAAGTTAACTTTTTTTTCCACTGTATTAAAGATTTAAAAAACAGAGTGCACGGATTTCAATAAATCAACAGATCCATGGACACTCATTGTCAGAAAAGCACAATTATATTGTACCTCTACAATGCAAGAAACAGAATCTGCACGTAATAAATGAAATATGACACCATGCAGATAGAATTACAAATTCTATGAAGAAATAAAGTTTTTGTGATTTAACCAATATATCTGTGCTTTCCTAAACTATACAGCAAGAATAGCAATGTATAGAGGGCGCCCTTTTTGTTTAAATTTGGAAAAATGTTTCAAGTGAAGGTGCATCAAAGTGGTTTTAATATTAAATAAATTTGATATTAAACAGTTACAGGAAAGTCTAACCAAAGACCCAAATTGTGTGACCAGCCTTACAACAGCTTTTACAGGTAAAAACCTATAGTTTAACAATTTGGGGTAGAACAGGGTTGCTGGACAGCAGGCAAACATTGATACTTCTGCTTTTCTTCTAGACTGTCCCCCACTACCTCCCCCAACTTCTTTTAAAATGTCCCTCACTACTTCCCTCTGGCATACAGAGATAGTTCTAGTACTTCCAGATATGGGGCACATTATATGACCATGCCTCATATAATGCAAAACCTGATTGAACTTCCAGTGGCTAGTAGCGAGCACTATAAAATCAGCATAGCAACCAGGTAGCTAGTGATTACAGTATGAAGTCAGCAATGGCAGCCCCTGTATTTCTCCACCAAGACAGCATTACTTTATGTACGCTATGTGTTTTAAGTGTTAATACTCACTTTTCACAAAAGTCATTCATTACACACCAGTATGACTCCGGGACCACAAACCATTCACAATCTCCAGGCCCAATATTTATATTCACAGAGCAAAAAATTATTGTTCTCTTGATGACCTAAATGAGAGGAACAGAAATAATAAACACCAGACCCATATACTTTATGGTAGCCTTTTAAGTAAACCATTTTACTTAAGCAATATATCAGCAAATACAATAAACCCAAGTATCTTAGTAGAGCAGAATGCAGTGATCAGTGCTGATCGACTACTGGTTATCAAGCATGTCCTTTTGACAAAAGCCAGTCATTGGACCCGCTTCTCTTGGACAGGCAGCTGTACGCACTTGTCTGAATGTCAGCCTATTCCTACCGAACCAGCGATATTCAGCTCATGTGTACCCCACATCGTTCTCCTGTGCAAAAGGTTGGAAAGTCCGAGCTAGAGAACCAGGAATGAAATTCTGATCACTAATTACTGGGGGGTCATATCACAGGGAGACCAACTAAAAAGTATATCCTCCCTGTTCAGTGCAAATTGGGCCGCATAGCCTCACAGAAGCTGAGCCTTTGACAGGGGAGGGCAGGACAGTTTGAAGCCATGCACCCTATAAAATGGGACCTCTCAAGTTGGCTTGTTCTAATTGAATCTATCATTTATTGCTGCCCCATGTGCACCAATCCAAACTTCTCATTAGATGGACTGCTCTATGGTATTTCAGGGAGTCCGGAAAACCTATGCTGCCACATTGTTTTAGAAGAGACAGTGAGCTCGGACTTAGCCTATGGGTTTTTTTGACCCATATGAACAAACCGAACTCTCCCCGTAATGGTTTGAGGGATGTTTTTGTAATCCTAATAGGGAGGACTTGTAGAAAATAGAGCAACCATGGAAGGATATTATGATGCTTACTATGGTCAGCTTTTATTCATTTATGTAAAACTTTAATTCCAAAAGGAAAAAACAGTTGCTGACTGCTTAAAGCGTAGTAGCTGGCTTTAATGTGTTATCCAAATATAAGTCATCTAAATCTGTTGGTGCATTTATGATTATTCTCTCCCCAGATTAACTGTGCTGTTTAACCAAAGGAGACACCCCAAAAAAAAAAAAAAAAAAAAAAACAAAAAAAAAAAAACTTCTTACTGGACCACTAGGTGAAAATAAAGGAAAAAAAAACCCAAAAAAAACCCCAAAAACTAACAAAAGAATACAAATGCAGCCACCATATTAAAGAATTGGTAAGCTGCAATAAATTACGTTATTGGGCTCAAAATAGAACTATAGGCAAAATGTTTTTAGTTTTGGATAGAGAATAGGAAGGTTATAACCCCTGTCAGTATTTTGCCATCTGTGTCCTGGGGAGATTTACCTTCACTTTTTGTCCCAAAGCAGAAAGTGAGAGGAAATCCCCCCTAACGAATCACCAGAACTTGCATCCCCATTACAAGGTTTCCTATTACTTTGCTGGGGACAATCAAAAATTTGGTATTTTTTTTTTTTTACTTTTAAATCAGAATAGAGAGAGTGAATCTCCTTAACGGGGGCACAGACAGCAATAAAAACCTAATTGGTGTTCTAATCCCTCTCCACTTTATCCAAAACAAGTTTTGCCTTTAGTTATTTTTAAATACTGCTTTAACCACTTCCTGTCTGGACACTTTTACCCTCTTCCTGTCCAGGGCAATTTTCAGCTTTCAGCGCTATCACACTTTGAATGACAATTGCGCGGTCATGCAACACTGTACCCATATGAATTGTTTACCATTTTTTTGAGACAGATAAAGCTTTATTTTGGCGATATTTATTCACCGCTGGGATTTTTATTTTTTTTGCTATGTAAATGAAAAAGTCCAAAAATTTGAAAAAAAAGTGTTTTTCTTATAAATTTAGCAAATATATAATCTTTCATCATAAATCTTTGCCGAAATGTATTCCGTTATCTTTTTAGTACAAAAAAAAAAAAAAATAAGCCAAATTAGTTTATAACCAAAAATTATCATTTTTAAACATTTTTTTTTACATTTTTATATTATTTGTTTGTTTTTTTTTACACATACTGTCACCCTAGCAGTACAGTGTCACCATGGCAATACTGTACTACTTGTGGGGGGTGACGTTTTTTTTTTTTTCTTTTTCACAGTGATTGCTTTTACACTCATATAGGATGTAAAAACAATCATTTCTCTTTCTCTCTGTCTGCATTCTTGCAGCCATTCAGAACTACTGAGTGAGCAGTGATTGGTCCCAGCTTGTCACATGGTACAAGGCTGTTGTGAATAGCCTTGTACCATGTGACCTCTGTGATCATTCACAGATTTCACACGTAGTAAGGAATGATGTCCCAAGTGACATCTTGCTTACTACTTTGCATGTGATCACTGATTGGCCAATCAGCGATCACATGATCGGGACCTCATACAGAGGTCCCCGTCTGACGATTGGTGTTTCACTGTGTCCGGAGGACACAGCGGGCATCGGATCGCGGTGCTGCGCGCTCCCAGGGAGCACGCACAGCTAGAAATGGCGGGTGCCATTTATGAACGGCAACCCGCCCCTGGAGTGCCACCATCCTGCCGTTTATAAAACGGCAGGCGGACGGCAAGTGGTTAAGTTGGCCAACAAAAAGCATTTCATTCTAAACTTTCTACAATAATCCATAGCTACCTTATGCAATATTTTACTACTGCTAATCAGACAAAACAGTTTCCCTTTCCACAGTTCATAATTTAAATTATTCCAGAATATATAAATCTATAACAAACTCTTTAACAGCTGTTACTGAAATCATGTTATAGCACAAACCTGGTGTTCTGCTGCCTGGTACCTTCATATATAACTGTACGGTGTTCATTCCTAATATGGTGTGACCAATGTGACTCAGGAGATTTCCAGCTGACACCACACGTGCAAATGCTGGAAGTTTGGTCAGTTCATGTAGCTGTAATTTCCACCTTTGGGAAACAATTTTAAAAAGTAAAATGCAGATTGTAAAACCATAACTTACTAATGTAGGTTTAAATGAGTGTGGTTATTTTTTACCTTGTCTGAAAGTTATACAAAATATTTGATATTTTTGAAGGTTTATTGTTTGCATTTAATATAATCAAGCATTGAAGATAATCACAGATCCAATCTGACTAAATGTAAAGACTACACAAAACATCTATGCCACTACTATCCCTTTGTAGGGCTTATTTGCCTATATTGAAATACTAAGGAATCACTACCATCAAAAGAAAGAAATTTTGAGTCGCCTGTAAATTCCATTACATTCCCTTAGAACCCTACACACAAATGCTCAGTTTTGTAGCAATCAATGCAGAGTAACAAGGAGAGTTAGGTAGGGTGTCCTGTGTCCAGCTCTGCACTCCAAAATATGGAATTGTAAAGTACAGCACACAGGCAACTTATCCATACACCATGGGATGCCCCCAAGCAATGAACACAAGGGTAGGCAACAGCTAGGTCCATAAACAACAGCAGTTAAGGACTCCAGTCCCCTTGCAAAGTCCGAAGGAAAGGACACATAGGAAATCAGTTTGTCTAATGGATGCAGTAGCTTTTAGGCACACTAACGGCTCGGACTACTTCCAGGCAATGTAGAGAGTCTTCCTTTGGATGCTTAGGAGCAGGACACAAGGATGGCAGAAAAATTTCCTCACTGAGATGGAACACTGAAACCACCTTTAGAAAAAAGAAAAGTCTTGGGTGTATTACAACCTTGTGATTGTGAAGTATGGGGAAATACTCTGCAGAAAGGGTCAGCAGTTCAAAGACATATTTGTCACACATGATGGAAACCAAAAAAAGGCACTCTGGCTGGCAAGGATCTAATGTACTATCTGTGATGGGATCAAAGGGTGCAAGGCAGAACCAAAATTAAGATACCAGGAAAGCAGTGGGTTCTTCAAAGGGGGCCTGCCATGTTAAAAATCTAGAATATAGGTTTTTACATAAGAATGTGAAGTCAAAGGCCTTTGAAAAAAAGATTGATAAAACAGATACCTATCCTTTATGGGAGCTAAGAGCTAGATTCTGGTCAAGACCTGTTTGCAGGAAGGCCAGAATGCAAGAGACAGTAACGTCTGGGACTGACACTGACTGTGTCAACACCAGGTAAAGCAAAATTTACAGATAACATAATAAATCTTCCTAAATATAACTTTTCTTGCTTTCAGCAAGGTCTTCGCAGACTCAGAAACCCCTCTATACTTTTAAGACCTGGGTTTCAACAATCATGCCTGAAGCAGGATGGTATAAAGGTCTTGAGATAGCAGATCTGACCTGTTGGGAAGAGGCCAGGGGTCGTCTGCAAGAAGTTAGAGTATGTCTATGTACCAAGTTCTGGGCCAGTAGAATCACCATCTTCCTCTCACTCTATTTTGTGGAGCTGGTGAGACAGAATGGTTAGTGATGGGAAGGCATAGATTCTACTGAACTGAGGTCAGGGGAAAACTAACCCAAAGACAGATTTAGAACATCCTTGTTCTCTGGATACAAACAGAGGTAGCATGTTATATCTGAAGCATGGGATGTCAACATCTGGAGACCCCTTTTTTTTGGTATAGACTGAACACATCTGGCTGAAGAGACCATTCCCCTTGATCCAAGTAGTGGTGGCAGAGATAATTCACCTACCAGTTGCCCATTCCTGGGAAGTGGACTGACAGTGACTTTCTGCTTATGATATTGTGCTCCCTTAAAGATTGATATAAGCCACTGTGGGGGCACTGTCTGACTGATCTCGAACTGGATGTCCCTAAAGAAGTGAGTCCCTGTGCTAAAGAGGGACAACTGACTGCTCAAGTTGATGGAGAGTTTGGTCTCTTCTCTTGATCATGTTACTTGAACGGTCAAACTGGAAGAATCCTTCCCAGCCTGACAGACTTGTGTCTTTTGAAAAAATGTTCCAATTGCAGGGAAAGAAAGATTTTCCTATTGGTAGAGTTGAAGTGATTATCTACCAGTACAAACATGTTTTTTATTGGGTGGATGGGAGAACCTGTAGATCTTGTGTTTTCCATGTTGACAGAATATTTAGTCTGAGACTTCTTGAGTGGGATCAGGTGAAAGGTACTGCCTCATAGGAGGCATCAAGCAGACATCTTCATTGAAAAGGAAACAGCCCCTGAGAAAGTCATTCAGACAAAAACTAATGTTTTGGGTGGGTTTCCAGGGTCGTCATCAAGCTTGGATGCTTTTGAGCTGCCGGAGTTGCCTTGTTTGTGGTGCCAGAGTGTGAGCCATAACGTTTTGAGGTATTTATGACATGCTGCCTGTTAGGGTAACCTTTTATTTTTTTAATAAAAAAAAACCAAAAAAAAAAAAAAACCCTTTTTAAGTGGTACTTCACTATTGTTAGCCTCTTTCATGCATGTGGAATTTTCATCTTGATACATCCATCCATAATCCGGATTTGTATGTGGATGATTAAAAAAAAAAAATTTCAGACCTTTCAGTAATCTTGGGGTTGATTGTGACTGTGAGCTGCTCTCCTACGGGTTAATCACTGGGTATTTTTGATTTCCACTTTTTCAGCACAACAGTGGCAGGAAGATTTTCATTTGTACCTTGGGTGTCTAATCAAAGATTTGTAGATATTTTATGATGGATGCTGTGTGATGTTCTGTTATTTTAACATGTTTATATTTGCACATTTTAAATAAGCACTCCATTGCTACTGATTTGACATTGCATTTTTATATTTTATGAGGTAGCTGCCAATTTATCTTTATTAGTTTTCTATACTTATTGTTTGGATGCAGCACATACATTTTGTAATTTAATAAACCAGTGAAGCTGGTTTCTCTGGTAAGGAGAAGAAGATGAGGGCACCTTCAGACACTAGCAAAAAAGACTTACAGAGTGGAGTAGGCTTATAGCAGAGGTGTCCCAGGTGGTGTGTCCTAAAAAGCTTGTCCAGTCACTTAGTTGTATGAGCCTGTAACCCCTGCTGTATGAATATGTTGGCTGTGTTCTGTACTATAAGATTAAGAATAGCCTCTTCTCTTAGGCAGGGTATATACACAGTGAGTTTTATTTTTTTTCATTCAGCTACTGTGTTGAATGAAAAAATTCACAGACCCCTGCATCAAAACACAGCGATATGGATGCAGAGATCTCCACTGCTGCTCTATTGCATTTCTGACAGTGGGGACTCCCCACCCCCCAGTCAAAACACATTGATCAGCGCTGCATTCATTGATTGAATACTGGTTTTCCAGCAGCACCATTCAACAGAAGCCAGCCGAATGACTGATTCAAATTGAACAGACAGCAGTACACACAAACGGGATATACGGACAGTTCAGCCAGTTCATGTATACAAGCTTTTATCTGTATCTGCTAGATCTTTCAATTAAACCTGTCACAAACCTTGGAGATTAAAACATATGTTGAAATAAATGCATAGCATATGATGAAAATAAACAAAAAAAGGTTACCATCAGTGAAGATAAAATGAAAAAAGAAATTGTTCAGTACAAACCATTAAAGGTATCATCTCTGCCTTTCTTGACCTTACAGTATCCACTGCCTCCCAACTGGTCAATAAGGCCACCCATGAAAAGGACCAAAATGTAGTTTTGGGAGCCGGTACCAAGCAAACCTTATGTAGGGCAAAGCAACAGGCTCTCTTTGATCCCCCTTTGCTAGGAGTACATACTTCCCCCTTCCCTCTATTCCCTTGCTGCTCCATTTAGCAGCAAGGGGAAAAACCACAGGTACACTTTAAGTAAATATTAGCTCAACTGTACATATCTTTGCATATTCTTAACATTTTAACAATAGGATTTCACTGGTTTGTTTTCCTCATTTTGAAATATCCAGGTCAGTGACAGGTCTCTGCTGGATTTCTAGAGCCTCTGTATAAATCTCCTTAATCACCTATCAATTCTACAATTGCTCCCACTTGAATGACTTGTTTGCACAAGCGTATCTACTTCTTTAACATTTTTTTTTCTTCTTGTTCGCACTCTGTCACCTTATGCATCTTTTTTTTTACTTTCTTCTCTTCTTTATATAACTGCTCAAACAGTAGTCATTTCAGTTGATCTACTGTACACTGCATATGCGAATGCTCACGAATGCCATTTACCTCTGAAAGTTGGCCTCAGCAAAGAAAAACATAAAAAATAATTTATGTATTCATTTAATAAACTCAATAAAGGTATAAAAGGTATTGTAAAATGTAATTAGAATAGGTAATAAAATTTCCCTTGATAACTGCTCTTGTAATTCTCTGCATGGCAGGACTCTAGTGTATACAGATGCTTTCCGGGGTTTGGCTTTAAAGCTTTTCTCCTAGTCCAGCCATGAGAACTGTCCCTATGTGTTCTGTTTGCCAGAACTGGCATCCTTTGCGTCGCCTTTTCTGGGTTTCTGGCCTCCCTCCCCTGCCACTTATTAGCCAATTCTGATCAAACTTCTGTGCATATGGGCAATCATTACATTGGCCTTGTCACTGGAAATAAGGCAGAGCGCACACTCCACTGAAGGCAATATGAACTATTAAAATTGCTAGGCGAGATGGGAAAGGGGTTTTTTTTTTAGCATAAAAAAGAAGTTAAAAAAAAGATTAAAAAAAAAAAAAAAAATCACATCCTAGCAATTTTCCTTACGGTTAACTAAAGTTCAGCTTTAGGCCAGATTACCTCTGAGGCACTATTCTAACTTCTAAGAATTTGTCAGGACAAGGAAAGCCTTGTACTTGCTTTGCTAGCAAGTAAGTCACTGACCCAAAACATGAACATATTTTTCAGGCGTTTAGGACCCAATAAGCACATGCTTGTTTCAGGTCAGAAACTTGCCATGTAAATAAAGATGACAGCATGCACCTTCAAAAAACAGTCTGCAACGGGAGCTCCCATATCTTAGAAAAGGTCCTGAAGGATAAGGTTGACAGCCTCAGAGTTTGTGCCTTAAAAGAAAAAGTCAGCAATGAAAAGCTTCCTTATTTCTTTCATGGCAGGTTCCTAGTCCTAACAGTTTTTATTTTTTATTGCAAAAAACAGTAATGACAAAAAACAAAACCTGCTCAAAATGTAATACTTAAACAGCACAAAATATACATTTAAACATACATACTTTCTTTCATCAGACAAGTCAATGTTGGTCCCAAATTTAATGGTTTTGAAAGGGCCTCTTCTCTTTCTACCAGAGCTAAGAAAAGAAAGGAGACTGTATTAATGAAAGCAAATTCAGAATAGTTAAAAGTCCAAGTTTAGATTAAAAAAACAAAACAAAAAATCAGCACAAGGGACAGTACTTGCATTCAATAAGAAGTGTCTCTGGGGCTGCTGTTGTAATTGAAATCCGAAGTCCTTTACCCCCCATGCCTTCCCCCTTAGCTGTGATCTTCCAGTGCTGTGGGGTGAATAGAGCTGAGGACCTGTCATAGGTATTCAGTCAAGAGTACAAATGCCTCTCCCTTCCACCCCCACTCATATAAGCTGTACTATCGCTTCCATCAGTGAAAAGTGCTTTATGAATGGAGGATGGACAGATGAATGCAAGGTCTGCCCTCACCATTCATAGAATGTTTTTCATTGCTGATGATTTTGTATTTATTTATTTTTTTACTAAACATAGGCTTTATTGTAGCCTGCATGCTGTATAACAGTCCAAGCAAATACATAACGGAGGACTAAAAAACAAAAAACTTTAAAACTTCTTTCTGTTCTGCTTTATGATATACTAAAAGATATGGTGAGTATATGATTACAATGTGGGGAAGAGGATATATATTTTAATTGATCAATACTTCAGATCAAATATTTTTATTATTAAGAATGACCTGAACCTATCCTAGTACACACATTATTATGCTGGCAATCAACCATTAAAGTGTCAATAAACCCACATTATTAAAAACTATCAAATGCTGTATCACATGTTGGTCATACTCACTATGCGATTCATTTTATGCATTCTGCAAAACACCTGACTGATCCTGCGGTTCCCTATCTCCTCCTGTCAATATCCCTAATGCAACTGGGAATTTTGCAGTACAATATTGGCAGCTAGTGTACATGCTCTGTTTTCAGTGTATTTTCTACCCTGAACATTTCCTCCCTATCACATCTGAGCAGCTTATGTGACTATAGAATCACACATGTGGGCGTATATACTCTGGTAAATGACAGCCCACTCCCTCCTCCTCCATACCAACTAGCCAGCTAAACACAATGGGGGTGGGGTATGACATCTTGATTGATGGAGATTTCACCTTCCTGTTATTCTAAGACATAGGCTGGAGGGGCATGGCACCAGCCTGAGACTGGCAGAAATCCACCCACACCAGGTTATTGCCAAAAAATAAAATTTTGTTTAGAAAATATTTGTATAACAATTTAAAAAAGTTTATTGATATTAAATATTTATTTTTACTTTATATTGCAAAGGTTTTTTTTTTTTTTTTTTACTTTGAACATGTGACCAGCAGCAGAGGACTAGAAGGTCCTCCTGCCACTATTTCCCTACAGACAGGCTGGGAAAGAGCTGGGTCATGAGATAGCTGTTTATCGGTTAGGAATCAAGGTACTTCGTTTTTTTGTTATTAAGATAATTACAGTGCCATCATCCACATACAGAAAGAGAAGGGATAATGCAAATTAAAGTGTGTGTTTAGTATCACTTTACTTAAATTCACATTTATGAAGTCACTGCCATTACTTTTTAAGTTCTGACAACATGGAGCCCAATTTGTGTTGATTATGATGTAACAAATGTTTTAACAATAGCTAACAGAAGATCTCAAATGTTGGTAAATGGTCTGACACAGAAATGAAGACACAAAATGTCTTAAAAAATCTCCATTTAACTGCCCTAACAGGGCAGACTAAAGGCTCAACAAAATTAAACTCTGCAAGATCAGAAGAATATCACTGAACAGCAAAAGGATACCTTTAATTAGGACACCCATATAAATTTCTACTCACTTGTCTGAGGATGTGGATTCACTGTCTGAGTGATCTCTGTGGTGGCTTTTTTTCTCATTCTCCTCCTTGAGAAAGCATACAAATACAAAACATTTACTTAATTGTACAAACATGTTTTCAAAGTTGTGAATAGGACATTTAATTCCAAATTTAATCTCTGTGTCAGACGTGTATTATAAATCATATATTGCATATGTGTCACATTTTGACTAAACACAAAAAACCCATAGGCCAGCCCAGGAAAACGTTCTACGATTTGCAATAGGATCCCTGCAGAACCAGATTGTGGGTTCTTTGGGTGTTGGGGGTGATCCGTGAGGGTAGGGTAGGCTGGGTGGGACTCCTGGGGGGGTTGGCACGGGGAGGTGTGTTTGGGAGGGTGTAGGAGATGGATGGGATACCTGCACTGATCTATGTAATGTTTTCACTGTTACATCCGGAATAAATATATGCTATTTATAAGCCTTGAGGTGCTCTATCCTTTTGTGGGGGGGGCTTTCTTTGTAGTGTTTGGATGCACCTCCCCCCTGTTATGTATATTGGGGGTTTTGGCATAAGCAGATATACCACTCCCAGGACAGGCTTTTGGGGCGTTTTTTTTTTTTTTTTTTTTTTTAAATAAAGTAACAGTGCTGTATCGCAAAAAATGGCCTGGTCAGGAAGGTGGGTAATTCCTCTGGAGGGCAAGTGGTTAAGAACTAGACTCTGTTTCTCTAAACAAATCCAAAAGCAAGAAAAGTGTTACTAACTCTTAATGACTCCTGGAATGAAGCAGCTTGGTACTGTGCATATTTTGCAATGGTAGTATGTGAGTGACTACTCTCACAACGCCAAATTTTCTTTGTTCCAGTGGGGGTCCCAGTTTTCGTCTGAAGGCTGTAATAATTGCGTCCTCACTTCAACAATATGCTCTGTATTTGCTTCAACCAGTGTTTTAGTAGAGAATAATCCAAGATCTATCAATACAAGTGGAAACCATTTTAACTACAGATATTAAAAAGAAAACAATGATTAACAAATTGCCTTTCAACGTGCTTACATGACAAGACAAACAAACCTAGTTTAAGTGCTCCAGCAAGGCCACGGATAACAGTGACAGGATTGTTTGGATTTGTGCAGAACTGATGCAGAGGTGGGAAGAAAGCATCTCGCTTATTCTCCAACTGTAAGAAACACATAAAACATAAAATAAAACTGACAACCTACCTAGGGCATCCATAGATGAGGTTCAGACCCAAAATTAAGGCAAACACAATATGGTTTTTAGGAGCTTCTGAGATGCTCTGACTCACAGTTTCTTTTAATTGCCTTTCACATGCTCAAGAAGTTGGGTTCTTTTATATGAATATCTTGTTCAACCCACCTTTTTCTGGTAGTAACAACAATGCAATCACATTTTATGGTGCCGTTCCATGCACCAAATGCTGTCTAACAAACCCAAGTGGCAGACAGGTTAACAACTTGTAGATGTAGATGCACAAGCTCAAAATTTGTCCTGCATTTGCACCTGTGTTTAGACATGGGTGTTGCTGAGCACATGCATGCATATCATTACTACAGGGGGATCATGATGATGTTGTTTTAAAGCGGAGTTCCACCCAAAAGGGGAAGTTCTGCTTTAAAGATGGGTCCCTCCCTCCCCATTAAGGATTGGCACCTTTGGGGAGCGGGAAGGGGGGGGGGGGGGGGGGGGATAATGGGTACCGAATTTGACAGGTATCCGCTCCGATCGCCTAGGCGATCAGAAACGGAAGTTGTCCTCCTACCCTTCCTCCCCGAAGTCTTGTGGGACATGTGACAGGTTTCAGAAGACGACGAGGCCATTCAGGAAGCGCAGCGCTACTTGCGCATGCGCAGTGGGCACCCGGCTGTGAAGCCGCAAGCTGTCACAGCCGGGTGCACACACTGAAGATGCCGGCACCTGGAATACAAGATGGCCGGTGAAACGGGTTTGCGATGGGGGCAATGCGGGATCGTGGGACAGGCGAGTGGCTGTTTTTTTTTTAGTCAGCAGCTACAGATCTTGTAGCTGCTGACATTTTTTTTTTTTTACAGAGTGAGTGGAACTCCGCTTTAAGATCCTGATACATCTTAGCACAGGAGCAGGAAATCCATTTAGGGGATTGTAGACTGTAGGGAGGTTACACTGAAGTATCAATTTAGCCATTATGTTTCATTGTTCTAGTAGTGGATGGATTTACACCATGCTGAGCACATCTAATTAAATGCGAGTGAGAAAAATAAAAATACATTATACTTTGTACTTAAATTAGTGGGACAATGACTAATATGTTAAGGCTCAAAGCCAGTATGAAAGCTGGAACAAATCTTGGCCAGTGCAGCAGGGACAGGCTGAAATTCGGGTCCATTTATGGGCACGCTAGTTGTATGGTGCAGGACAGTGGCTAAATGGTTAGAACTTCCGCCTGGCAGTACTAGGGTCATTGGTTTGAACTCCAACCAAGGAACCACCTGCCTAGAGTTTGCATGTTCTTCCTGTGCCTGCGTGGGTTTCCTCGCACACTCCAAAGACATGCTGGTAGGTTAATTGGTTCCTGTCTAAATTTGCCCTAGTATGAACATGCATGAAGATTAGATTATACACTCCTTCAGGGTTAGGGACTGATATGAATGTACATTCTTCTATATATACAGGCCTTAAAATTTCCACTCGCCTGCTCGCATTTCGCGAGTGGAAATAACATGGGGGCGAGGGCCAGATCAATCAAACAGCCGATGGATATGGAGCGGGGTGCCGGCACCAGAGGCGGAATAAGCTTTCAGGCATTAATTACTCACACACTACCCAAGGGCCCAGAGTCCTTAGGAGGTCCTATGACAGGCTCCTGAAAGGATGGGGAGGGGCAGCAGGGTGGATTGTGCAAGCGTTCTAAGAGTCCAGTCCGGTGAGAGAAGAGAGTGACTGACAGAGCCCAAGGAGGAGGAGAATCCACAGACTGGTGAGAACTCCGCATGTAACAGTGGGAGGAAAGGGGAGAACTGTCTGTGACCGGAGTGCTTAGAAACAGAGTGCGGCAGGCTGAGAGAGCCAGAGGGGAGACGTGTACGTGTGTGTGTGTGTGTGTGTGTGTGTCTGTGTATGCGTGCGTGTTTGTGTGTGTGTGGGGTGGGGGCTCTGTATTCACTTTATGTAGTAGGGGGCCCTGTGTGTGTTCTGTATTGTATGTATTGTACCATAATGGAGACCATGTGTTCTAAGAGGGGGGTTGTGTGCTCATTATAACCTCAAATAATGGGGGGGATGGTGCCATAACTGAGTAGCATAAATACCAATCACCCCCCTTTTTTGCCCCTTCCTCCCCCCCTCTTTTTCTCTAACCCCGTCTCTCACCCTCCTTTCTTTTTTTTTTTTTAAAGAAGGTAGAGGACATGGCTATGGGGGGTGAAGGAGGGTATATATTTAATTCTGTAACTGTATTCGGCATAAAACATTTAAAAGTGTCATTTAATGAGAACTTACGAGGGCATGTTTAGGGGAGGGATTAGGGGCATAGCAGGGTAGCGGTTGGGTGGGGCAACTGGTGGTGAGTAACTCTTAAGGCCTGCTAGTAGCTCAGGACTTGAAATTTTAAGCCCTATATATATATATATATATATATATATATATATATATATATATATATATATATATAGCACTGCATAAATTGACAGAGCTATAAGTACATGTATTAAATAAATACTGTAGTTGATCCATTGATCGACTTCAGCACAACCAGACTGTCAGATTTTTTTTTTTTGCATGTGATCACTGCCGGTGGCTATAGCTAGCAGCAGTGAACATTGTGTTCTATCATCATTGAAAGCTCTCTGCTGCAGAACACAATAGCGCTGCGGGAGAGATTCCCATGGTGGGAGGAAAGAAAATTGCATCATCTATTGGCTACTTAAGTGTTACCACATAAAGCCATGTGACAGTTTCACAATGAGCTGGTATTTGTCAAGGACTTAGAAAGCAACAAAAACAAACAATTATACCTTCACCACTACAAATCAATTCTTTTACAAGTGCTTTTAAACATAGATCCCAGGAACACCAATCAGAAAAGTCGACAAATTGTGCCTTGACCCATTATCCAAAGCAAGTGAAACAGACGCATCTCCTTTGATATCTTTGTCTTCATCTGTTCTAGCACCAACAATTTCAGGTTTGCTGTTACAGTGTACCTTTATCATCACCTTAGCTGAAAGAGGGGTTGTTACTAATTTTGCTTACCCAGAAGTTTGAAGTTATTCCAGGTACTGCACTGTCACTCTCTACTGAGGAGCAACAAGCATTTGGAAGAAAAGGTGCTTTGTGGCCCTGTATAGTACCTTCCAGGGGACAGCACCCTTAGCTTACATCTGGTGCACATCACTTGCTTAGTATTTGAAACCAATACAGTCCATAAGCCAATGGTGTTACTTCACATTTAAGCATATTTCCATACTCACATAAATGCTAGGTGTGGGTGGATTTAATTTATCTGTTGGTAACGGTGGATAAGGAGGCGGAGGTGGTCTTGGTGGGGGGCACTTGTCCAGTAAAATGCTACTGTTTGATAGACCATTCTTGCCAAGATTCCTAGACAAAATAAAAACATGCACAACATAATTAAACATGCGCTACACTGTGTGAAGGCTGTAAAGCAGCTTTTATCTACCAATATCTATGGGATGACTAGATAAATTCCAAAAATGCTTAAACTCACTTTCACTGATCTGCTTATCTATCCTATCCAATCTTTCCTCCATGCTATGCTCAGTGAGATCAACTTACAAGGTCACATGGTACAACAAAAAATGCCTGTATGTAAATTGTTAGGGTTACCCTATATTGAAGGATCAGTGGAAAAACCTAAAAATGAAAGGAAATCTATGGTCACAGCATACATGCTCATTTTATAACATCAGCATTGTAATACAAAAGTTCTATTGACAATCCAATAGAAGCTTACTTGGGAAAATCTCCTTTCATGTAGTGAGTGCTGCCTATTTGCTGGTCAACTTTTTCCACAACTTTCCGGATTCCTGGCATGCTTTGCAGCTTTTCCTCTGCTATTTACTTTGAATTTCTGAGGACTGCAAATCTCATGGCATCTTGCTGCCTGTAAGCAGTGATTATTGTACTGACCCTGCCTCCTTGACCTCTTGCTGCCAGCCGCACGCATATTGGCGGCCCCCTCGGTAGGTGGCCTTTAATGGCGAGTGGCTGCATATCTGCGTCTATATGTAAACAGCACAGTAACTGAACTGACAAGATCCTGATGCATACTTGTGATTGGGAGATTTCGATCATGTGACTGCTGTGACAGCCAATCACAGCGGTCACATGATCGGAATGCCTACCTCCACCACCTGGCATTATGATCTATTTAAAGGGCCTGGACGGCAGCAGAGGGAAGGAGTTAAACCTTTCTCAGCACCTCTAAAAGCAGACTATGCAAAATGTGTGACACAGCAGTGACTACTCACAGGACATAATGAATAGGTGTGAGGAAGTAAATTTGTGAGGTTCTTCAGATTGCTAGGAGTATGGTAGAAATAGCAAATACAAAGTAGAAATTTATAGGATTTTGAAATGTGGACCATTGCTATGCGCTTAACCACTTCCATACAGGGCACTTTTACCCCCTTCCTGCCCAGGCCAATTTTCAGGTTTCAGTGCTCTCACATTTTGAATGACAATTGCGCGGTCATGCAACACTGTACCCAAACTAAAATTTTATCATTTTCTTCACACAACTAGACCTTTCTTTAGCGGTATTTAATCACCACCGGGGTTTTTATTTTTTGCTAAATTAACAAAAAAAGACCAAACATTTTGAAAAAAAAAAAAAAACAAAACATGTTTTTCTTTATTTCTGTTATAAAAGTTTGCAAATAAATAATTGTTCTTTATAAATTTAGGCCAAAATGTATTCTACTACATGCCTTTGGTGCAAATAACCCAAATTAGTATTATTTACAAAATAGACAGTCCGACATATTTCATAACAGGCATGACGAGTTTTTTGAAGTTGCAATTTTTTTGTCCGAATTTTTCGGAAATGAATAAAAAAAATGATTTTCACTATTTTTTTTTTTTTTTTTTTACAGACTGTCACCAGTTCAGTACAGCACCGTCAATAACTGGCATGGCGGTGATCAGGGACACTGAACGGTGACAGTAGGAAAAAAAAAAAAATATATATTTTTAAAACTATTTTTTTTTTATTTATTAATTTTTTTTTCATATTTCACTATGACCAAAGTAGTATAATGTTACCATAGTAATATTTTACTACTTTGGGGAAGTGGTAAGTTTTTTTTTTACACAATTTGCTTATAGCAAAGAATTACTTTGCTATAAGCGAGCATTTACCTAAATGACCGATTCATGCAGGGTTTTTTTTTTTTTTTTTGTGCTTAGCTGTGATTTGGCCACAGCTAATCACATGGCACAGCTGGGCTGTGATTGGCCCGGCTTGTGCATGTGATCTCTGTGACCATTCACAGCTAGACACACTTGTATACAATGGATGGCATGAAAGGAAGCAATCCATTGTATACAACTGTAATATGACCTGCTGTGATTGGTCACAGCAGGTCACAAGGTACTGGCAACGGGGCCGGCACACAGATCTGTCATCGGCCGTGTCCGAGGTACACGGCCGGTGACAGGCTGGGCGGCTCTGCTGGCAGGCGCACTGAGCATGCCTGAAAGGACGCCATATGGCGTCCACCCGGAGGGACGAGGTGCTCGCCATGGCCATAGGCCGGGCGGGAAACGGTTAAGATATAAGGCACTCACTGACTGAGAATTTTATTATACGAATAACTGGGAGGGAACAGGATCCCTTTTTGAAGGTACTACAGTGAATGAGAAACAGGGAAACAATGGCTGGTGTTGCCCTCTAAGGCAGGGGTCCTCAAACTTTTTAAACAGGGGCCAGTTCATGGACCTTCACAATGTTGGGGGGCTGGACTATAGTTTGAAAAATGAACAAATTCCTATGCACATATCTTATTTGTAGTGCAAAAAAAAAATACAATATTTAAAATGCACTGTACACCAACGCACTTGACACTGCCATGTACTGTAAACTAATGCCCTTGACACTGCACACCAACGCACTTGACACCGCCATGCACTGTGCACTGCACACCAACGCACTTGACACCGCCATGCACTGTGCACTGCACACCAACGCACTTGACACCGCCATGCACTGTGCACTGCACACCAATGCACTTGACACCGCCATGCACTGTGCACTGCACACCAACGCACTTGACACCGCAATGCACTGTACACTAATGCACATGGACACCGCAATGCACTGTACGCTAACACACAGGACACCGCAATGCGCTGTACGCTGATACACTGGACACAATGCGCTGTACGCTGATACACTGGACACCAATGCGCTGTACGCTGATACACTGGACACCGCAATGCGCTGTACGCTGATACACTGGACACCGCAATGCGCTGTACGCTGATACACTGGACACCGCAATGCGCTGTACGCTGATACACTGGACACCGAAATGCGCTGTACGCTGATACACTGGACACCGCAATGCGCTGTACGCCGATACACTGGACACCGCAATGCGCTGTACGCTGATACACTGGACACCGCAATGCGCTGTACGCTGATACACTGGACACAGCAATGCGCTGTACGCTGATACACTGGACACAGCAATGCGCTGTACGCTGATACACTGGACACAGCAATGCGCTGTACGCTGATACACTGGACACAGCAATGCGCTGTACGCTGATACACTGGACACCGCAATGCGCTGTACGCTGATACACTGGACACCGCAATGAGCTGTACGCTGATACACTGGACACCGCAATGCGCTGTACACTGATACACTGGACACCGCAATGCGCTGTACACTGATACACTGGACACTGTACACTGCAATGCGCTGTACACTGATACACTGGACACTGTACACTGCAATGCGCTGTACACTGATACACTGGACACTGTACATTGCAATGCGCTGTACACTGATACACTGGACACCGCAATGCACTGTGCTCTGATACACTGGACACTGCAATGCACTGTACACTGACACACTGGACACCGCAATGCACTGTCCTTTCCAGTTGCTCCTCTGGCTGCAGCAGGTGAAATCTGGGGCTTACAGGCTGCAGTTCGCTGGGTCCTCTCAGCTGAGGATCTAGCCAGCAGCCTAGCTGTTGGCTGGCTTGCGCCTCCCCCCCATTTATTTTTTTCTGGCTGGCTGGACAAATGTCTTTGGCTGGCCGTATCTGGCCCGCAGACCATAGTTATAGGACCCCCGCGCTAAGGTAAGTGGAGCAAAGTTGTCACTTTTAAAAAAGGTAGAATTCCATCTTTTCTACCTCTTTAAATTGTTTTGCTGACCTAAACAAACTAGTTCCATTACATGATGATGCGGCCACATTCAGTGCTGTAACATACTTGTTGTAGCATCAGCTACATAGAGTAAGCAGTTAAAGAGTCGGGCTGGAAAAGCCATGTGTTTTTATCAATTAATACCAGGCTTCCTCTGATTGGCCTGTAATCTTTTCATGCATGAAAAGATTAGTTTCTTTTTGCTGAAATATATAGGAGCTACAAAAGGTGGGTAGCTGCTGATGCATTGGGTTTTCAAGCACTATATAAATTTTCATAGGTGCAACTTAGCACATCTGGAGGAATTGTTTTGATTGTCACAGTTTTTGTGGAGTGATCTTTTTTATTTTTAGCAGCTCGCAAGCTTTATACATTTTTTTCCTTCAGATTGGCTGAGGTAGGGATGCAGATGGATGATTCAAGGCTTCTCTCCTGAATGGCAGAGAAGCACTCATTCTGACTATGGCAGTATATGGAAGTTGCCCAGACTGGTGTGGGAACACAGAGCCACTTACTGTACGCAGTGATGCTGTAAAACTGATCTCCAACTTTTAGCAAAGTTTCAATAGTTAATTTGGACCAAAACTATTACCTTCACTAACAGGGGCAGCCGCTGTGTGCTCTATATAAACTGTATGTAGCCTCAGATGCATACAGTATACTGCGCTGTATTCCAGCTGCGGGATACAAAATTCCTATCCCACTCCTGGAACAAAATTGAGCTGGGCTGAGTAGTGCTCAGCCTTTCACAAGGAGCTGCGTTTTCTATGAACTAATGCAAAGCTTCATCTGATTGACCAAGTCTGACTTTGATGTCATCTGCCACATCTCCAGCCAGGTGGAGGAAGCTTTGTATTTATTCATAGAATAGAAAGTTCCCTGTGAAAAGACTGAGTGCACTAAGCTCAACTTGATTTTGTCCCATGAGTAGAATGGGAAGTTCCCATTCCACTGCTAGAACACAGTGCTGTATGTAGCCACAGCTACATACAGTTTATACAGCGCTTCTAGATGCTGCTACTGTTAGCGAGGGTAATAGTTTATTTGGACCAGCTTGGTTAAAAACTATACTTCACTAAAGGCTGAAGATCGGCATTAAAATTTCAGAAAATCAGAAAGTGCTACTCAGAACCACATCATGAGCCAAAAAAAAAAAAAGAAAAAAGGCGTCAAAATTGGCACACTCGGGATAAGT